TGAGCTACGGGGCCCATAGAGACAGAGCCCCCGCCCGAGACCTCCCCGCCATCAACTCGCAGACGAGGCGCCCGCCTGAGACTTTCGCAAGAATCGCGCCTAAGGGGCCCAAGAGTGACGACGGGCGCAGGTTCGAGGATGACCCGCTCGGATTCGGGCACGGAGCGCGGAGCCTATAAGGGCGCCCCCCCGCCTGAGACTTCCGACGCCCCCGCCAGACACTCAGAGACGAGGCCCCCGCCTGAGACCCCATTGAAATTCAAGCCTCGGGGGCCCAAAAGTGACGACAGTTACAAGAATCGAACGACCACCTGGGGTTAGCCACATGATGCACGGGCACCCCAGGGAGGGGGCCCCGCCCGAGGCACCCTCGCAAGCCACTCGCAGACGAGGTCCCCGCCTAGAATTCATGAAGACGAGCGCGCGGGGGCGCACGTGAATGTGGAACTACATGCGACGATGAAAACGACGGTGGCGACGGTGGCGCCATGACGATGATGATGAGCGAATTACAATGATGATGATGAGTGGCGTCGACGACGACGACGACGGCGCTGATGCGCGCGCGCGAGAGAGAAGGGGGCGGAGGCGAGGACCGCGCGGGGCGCCCAGAGTTACAAAAGAACACTGTGGATACGAGGGAACGAAATTTGGGGGGGGCCCACACGGCGCCGACCCGCACCGCGACGGCCGCCAGAGAGAGCCGCCCCAAAACCCGCTGCGACGAGCAGGCGCTCGCGACGGCCCAGGTGCATGATCCAATCAAACATCCCCCACATCCAAAATTCAAGCAGGAATGCCAAACCACCCATGCGCGACGCAGAATGCGATGGCAGCGCAACAGCAATCGGTCGACAGCTCAAGTAACCACGAAACAATTCCAGCGCCGTGGACCTGGAAACCTCACCGGGAGGCGACCTGGGCCGGCGGCATGTCACAGTCATGGAAATTGACAAGAGCCCCGACGCACATCGATCACAGCTTCAAAATATTAGAGAGAACGGCAATCGGTCTCAAGTCCATGGCCCGACAGGCCCCCCAGGACTTCGCGACGAGGGGGGCCCAGAGGCGAGCGGATATCAGGTCGTTCCCCCCACTGCGGCGGTTGATCAGTCGCAGCGCAAATAATCCCCCAGGCAAGTCAAGCGTCTCGTTCCTCACCTTCTGACGCACCTCGCCAGCGATGCAATCGTCGCGTGGGCAAGGCTTGCCAGGCTTCATCCTTGTCGGGCAAGAGCGTGGGAGACCGCGTTGATCTGGCGCGGGAGGTTCGCCGCCCCCCCCTCCCCTCGGCCTCTGTTGCCGCGCCCCCTTCGAGAGGCAGTCGCTCCCCGCCCCGTCGTGGAATAACCCCTGGTAGAAAAGCGCGACCTCCTCCATCATCTCGCCCGCATCCGCAATCTGCCCCCCCCCCCACCCTCCGTCGCTGGCGTCTTCGCCGCGCCGCCCCCGTAGCTCCTCACCCGGCCTCTCTGAAGGCAGTTCAACTCATCTCGACGCCCCTGTGCCAGCAGCTCCCGCGGGAAGCCTGCGAGGCGCAATCCCAAGTCGCAGCGGAGGCCAGGGCCCAATTCGCAATATCAGGCTTGCCTCGCTTCGCGGACCTGGCGTCGCAGAGGGCGGCCCATCGGCACCCTGGGCGGCCCCGCGGGCCCCGGCTCCCCGCAGCGAAAGACCACGTCCGCAACTGTCAAAACATACTCTCCGAAAGTGGGCACCCAGACACCCCGGCGGCCCCGACGAGCCGGGGGGCTTTCGGCAGGGGCGTCATCCACGTCACCCACAACGCCAACGGGCACAGGCGGCTGCCCCCCGAGCATCTCCAGAAGGTCGGCCCAGGCACAGCGGAATAGTAGCAAGCGCTTCTGCGCCCCTGCGGCTGCCTCGCGGCCGAGGTTAGAGATAGACTGGCGCCCCTCTATCAGCGCGGCTGCACTTCTCACCGGATCCGGGAATTCATATTTTGACGAGGGCACCGCGGGACGCGGTCTGACCCCGGCCCCGCAGCTTCCCCGAACTCCGCCGCGACCCCGAACCCAAGCACAGATAACTCGGAACCGCCCGAGATAAACAAAAAAAATCCCCAAAGCGAGGTGGGCACCACGTGATGCTTCGGGAACAGACGTTCTCATGGATGCCCACCGCGTGGGCGGGGTCAAATGCGACCTCGATCAGAAGGATCGGTTGATCCTAGAAGCCACGGACCCGCATCGATGGCGCTCGAAACGTCAGCCGCACGATTGGAATGGGGGATGGCCTCGAGGAAGCCCTGAGAGGTGGGGGGGGGGCTGCGCGCGCTGGCCCGCAGGCCACGAGAATGGGATCGGCTCTGACTCCACGCGATTTCGAATCCAGGGCTATCCCCTGAGGGTCGTGAAACCGCGAAGCCCCAGCCACAGCTGCACTGGATCTCCGTGCGCCTCTTGCACTGACCGTCGCAGAAATTGCGAAAGCTGAAACAAACACTGGAGTAGTCGGCTCGCAGGCGACCCTCAATGTCGAATCGATCCTCGGCCTGGGCCCCAAGGGCGCGATCTGCGAGCTGCCGCCCAATGGGTTTCAAAATGAAGCGACACGGACCGGGCGGCGTAAAAATCAACAGAGCGCGCCCCAGGGCGATCGGGCAGCGGTCAGACTTCGTCGCAACCGACACTCGCGCCTGCGCGCCGCAGCTGCTCGGGCCAAACTCAGGGCTGACTCAAGCGAAATGAACCTGGCGAGGCCAGTAGCGACGGTCGCAGAAGCAAGCGGCCACGCCAATGGCAGGTCAGCACCGCGCGCTGGCGGCCACCACGTTGCGCGACATCATGAACTCCAGCACGTGGTCGGACTTCCAGCTGTGGACGGCAAGCGCGCGCGGTCCGAGCTCACGAGAAGGCCGTCTGCGCACGCCGAAGAAGGCGTCGGCGTCGAAGCAAAGAATTGGCCGAAAGAGCGCAGGGCAAGCAGGATCTGCTCACAGTCCTGGAGGTCTAGGGCGTAGGAGTGATTGCGATAATCGGATCGAGATGAGCACAAGTCACCCATGGCCTGCCACCATGCGGTGCGCGAGCACTCATGGCCAAGCAAGCGTGACAAAACAAACCCCAAAAAATGGAAACTCCCTGATGATGCATGCAGTCAGGTGTCTTGTGCACCACACCATAGGGTCTCCGCTTCCGCACCCCAGTGGGAAGCCCTAGAATCACCGCATGGCCGACTATCTCGGGGGGCGCACTCATGAAGGCACAGGATGTCCCAGAAGGAATGTTGCTCGAGATGTTTCAACACCCTAGCGGCACGTCGTAGCGGAACTTCCCGGCAGTTCCAAGATACGATGACTGCGTCGTCGCTGATGTGAGCCCGCTCTCATCTGCATAGTCAAGAGAGCCTCGGACGACCGTTGATCTCGTCCAGTTTGGCAGAGAGGTCGATCCCGATGCCCATGCTGTTGAGCCAGGCCCGCCCCCCCCCCTCCTTTCCGCGACGCGCAGCAGGTGCGACGGGCAGGCCCCTGTGAGGATACGGATCGGTTCTCTCGGCTGAACTCCCAACGGCAGTGCTTCCGCAGGCACGCGACCGAACCCACGAATTTGTGCGCATCCAGCAACTGCAGGACGGAAGCCCTCTCCATCTCAGGCCACACGAGCGCCGTTTTCAACGCGTATCGGGCATGACGCGCCCTCGCGAAACACACAAACTCCTCAGAGCACGTGCCGATGCCGTGCCACAGCTTCCGCGTTGTGCTATCGGACGGGTCCTGTTCATGGGAACTCTCAACTAGAGCACAGAAACCTTCCTACCCTTCATGGCCACCAAAAACTTCCACATCATATCCTTATCCCAAAACTCAACATTCACCCGATCTGTGTACGACCCAAGCACTGTCTTCATCTCCGCCACCAGTTTCACACCCTCCGAAAAAGTCCAGCCGCCGACGCAGAGAGTCTTCCGCAGGCCCATCGGGGGTCGAACCCGGGGGGCGCCACCGCATATGTGTCCGGGGAGCCACCACCTACCGAAATGACTGAAGCGGCATACCCTGGAGCTCTACTCGCGTTGCTGCCCGACTCGAGGACGGCCATCCTAGTCCTCAAACCCTGGATATTGTGCTTGAGGGATGCAACCTCTCCGCTGGTGGCTGCCACTTTCTGGTTCACTGTCTCGATCTTGATGTCAAGGAGGCCCACGGTTGAGCAGAGAGTGGTGCGAAATTCAGCAGCGAGAATAGAAAAATTGGCCTGTGCGGAGTCCAGGTCGGAGGGGGATGCTGCGGGCTGGTGCAGACCAGCAATGACGGACGGGCCCAGGGATGCGCCATGAGCGACTGAAGGACCTCGGCCATGAGAAATAGAGTACTGAACCCAGGGATCTGGCATGGCGGCGGCAGCAGCAGCAGCAGAGCTGGGGGGCACCGTCCAGGTCGGCTCCCAAACAATCTCCCAGATCGAAGTCGGACTCGTGGACGGTCGGCGCCTGGAGAGCCATGACTAACTCAAGTGTGCGAGAGGTCTGGAGGAGCGAGTCTGCAGAGTTCGGGAAACACTGCACCAGGTGACACTGATAGGTGAGGAGGAGAAGGAACTCTTGCAAAGATCAGCCGCTTGAGCCAAAATGGCGACGACGACGACGACGACGACGACGACGACGAAGAGGACGACGACGGCGACGGCGACGGCGACGGCGACGGCGACGGCGACGCAGACGGTGACGGTAACGGCGCCGGCGACGACGGCAGCTGCGGCGACGACGACGACGGCTGCGGCTGCGTCGGCAGGGGAGGCGAGTGGGGGAGGAGAGGGGTAGAGGACAGGGGAGAGAATGAGGAGAGGAGAATAAAAAGATGAAGAGGAGAAGAGACGGCGACAGTGGAGAGGGGAGGAGGGAAAGGAGGGAGGAGGGGGCAGAGAATGATGCTGGGGTGGTGTCGTCGTCCCTTTCCTATCTCTTTCTCTCTCTCTCTCTCTCTCTTTCTCGCTTCCTCCCCAGACCTGGACTTGTGTTCAAAATCCCCCCGTCGCTCCTGGAAACACGTAAGTGTTCATGAAGCCGTTGTGGTTCCATTCGGCGCTCCGCTCAAAGCCGATCGTGTGCAAGAGCATAATGCCATCGTCGGTGAGACAATCGAAACACTTGTCGAAATAGGTGCCATAGTCATTCCGGCCGATGTGCTCGAACACACCGATGGAATAGACCCTATCGAACTTCCCTTCGACCAGCCGGTAGTCCTGCAGCCGGTATTCCACGTTCGGGTGCGCGAAGTGATCCTGTGCGAGGCCGGGATCTGTCCACATGCACCGCCTAGGGAACCGATGTCCTGGGACCCCAGGGGGCGGCGGAAGTGGATACCTGCTGGCCCCAGGGGGCCCGACTACTTCCACATCCACCGCCTGCCGAGGTCTCCGAGGATCGGCGCCCTGGGCGGTGGTTACGGATACGCTCCTGCCCTGGATCCTGGGCGAACTCCAGCTGGTCCTTCGAGAGCGTGCACCCGTACACGTGCACGCCATACTCGGAGGCCAGGTAGTTCGCGAGCGCGCCGTAGCCACAGCCTATCTCCAGCACGCGCATGCCTGGCCGCAGGTCCAGCTTCTGGGCGATGAGATCCATCTTGGCCCGCTGTGCCTCGTCCTGGAGGGAAAGACAAAAACGACCATAACAAAGGCTGAACGCGAAAACGTCGGTCTGGATCATGGTCCTCATCCATCTATTTGATCGTCAATTGGTGGATCATTCGTGCGAATCGGCGACGACCAGCATGGATCACGACCAAGCTCAACGTCGAGAAGATCCCGTGGCATCTTGCTCATTGTCAAGATCATCGTGTTTATTCCCTCAACGTCCAGCGTCATCTCGGGCCTGTGAAAGTAGGCGCAGGTGTACTGCATGGCTCGAGGAAGAAAAAGCAGCACAATGATAGACTTTTGGGATCCGAGAGGATTTCCCGGATCGGCGCTGCCAGCTGGTTCTCCCCCCTGGCGAGCCGAGCGCGCCAGGGACGGCGCTAGAGGCGCCGCCGGGGGGCCCAGCGCCGATCGAAAAAATCCGCGCGGACCTCCGAAAAGGTATGTTCATGCTGATCTCCCTTATTCGCATGGAGGGCCCCAGCATGCGCCGGTACATCTCGGAGCCGCCCCGGTCGTAATGGGCGGCGATGTTGCTTTGCGCGCCCCAGCCGTCTTGCAGCCGGTTCTCCGGGAAGATCGGGGACGCAGAAGAGGGGAGCCAGGAAGCAGGGCTCGACCTAAACAATATTTTCCGTTTTCGTTTCGTTGTAGCTTTCCCTCTTTCTGTCTCTTTTCCGCCTTTGCTGCTAAAAGAAAACAAAGCGGGAATGGTCAGCTCGAGCCCTGCCAGGAGGAGGGGGGGTCAGTACATTCTGGCCCGAGGCATGTACGCGGACGAGGGGAGACCAGGGAACCCGTTGAAAGGAAAAATAACAAAACAAAACAAAAAATGAAAGAAGAAAAAGAAAAAGAAGAAGAGGGGATCCCACTGCCCTGGGCCACGATGTCCACACCCCCTGGGCCTCACGCCCCCTCACCTCTTGCCATCGCTCGGACGTCCATTCCCTCTGCATTTCTCGGCTTCGTACGTGCTTCTTTTGCAGGATGATCTTCGATGGTCCTCGCCGAGACAAATGCACACGTCCGAGCGATGCCAAGACCTCCTTCAGCGCCCCCGATAAGAGCTTCCACTTGAGCACCCCGACGACGGCGCCGAGCAGCAGGGGCAGGCCCAGCACGCCCAGTTCCTGAAGAGGGGGCGGCAGGCATCGAGCCGAGAGGTCGATTCCTGGGAGGGCACTACGCCGAGACCAGCACCAAGAAATACCCCACCAGCCCTTTTGGCTACGGCAGGTTCGCGTCGTGTCGACTGGCGGCGACCCCGCCGCCAGCGTTCAACGTTGAACGCTTGCACGCTGCCGGCGACCCAGAACCGGCTCCAAAATCAGTCGATGTTGAACGATCGGACGTTTCGGAAACAGCCGATCTCTCAAGCTTGAAACATCCCGGCGGTGTCACGAACCAACGCGGAAATCGGCACGACACGAACCTGCCGTAGGGTGGTCTAGTGAGATGTTTCTCATATCCTGCAGAAACCACGTCCCCTCGGGAAGGTGCGCCCTTACCCTCCCCATTCCGTGAGGTTTTTGTGGGGTCGGGTCGCGATGTAGTAGAGGATCCTCTTTCGCCCACGACGGATCCAGGAGCCAAGAAGGCCTCCGACGATCCAAGATGGCCTCCAAGGCGTTTCAAAATAGCCGACGATTGTTCAACATAATTCCCGTCATACTTCCAAGAGGCCCGACGAAGCCACAAGACGGCCACAAGACGGCCCCAAGTGCTCTCGGAGCCCCCTGGACCCCTTCCGAGAGGCCAAACTCTTTCAAAGATGTACGGAAACAAATGTAATTGTTGCAATGTTGTTTTTTCGCCACGCGGGCCCCACGGATGGTCCGAAAAGGTCCTCCAAAGTCGTCCATTTACCCCCAGAGATTATCAGTCCTCAAAACCAGGCAGAGGCGTGGAGGAGGGAATCGTTCCGCGAGCGCACGCCGCAAGACGTGCATTGACCCCGCTGGGCAAAGCCCCCCATGTCGGGCAGAATGCTTTCCGTGGGAAAGGACTGCAACTGGAAGAGACACAGACACACAAAGTCTCAGCCGACAGGGGGGGAAGGGAGGAGGAGGAGGAGACCAAGGACAAGGAGGAGAAAACAACTACCGAAACAAGGTCTGGCAAAGCGGTGGAATACAGAGCAAGCCTAGAGCCCCATAGCGGGCCGTGAACTACCACGAAGCCGACGGGATACGGGGGAAGCGAATCGAATGAACGCGGAATGCACAATAATCAGATAAACTCGGACGAAACCAAAAAGGGACAGCGCAGCCGGCTGCGCCGGAGAAGGCGCGACCCACGGGCCTCAACGCGCGACCCGCGCGGGCGGGGCGGCGCTAGTGGTAATAGGCGCGGCAGCCGCCCTCGAAGGCCGAGCGCCTCGCCCCGCCACCGCGAAGAGAGGAATGGAAGAGGGGGGGAAAGGAAGCGAGCTGAAATTATCATGTGGGGGGTCCCGAGAAATGAGCTCGCGTGGGCTGGGGGGCACGGACGTGGCGGGGGCGCGATAGGGGGTGTCGGTAATATTCGGACCAGAAGTTGTCGCGTGGGTGGTCCCAAGAAGTGAGGTCGCGTGGGATGCGGGTGTTACGACGTGGTGGGGGCGCGGTGGGAGGTATCGGTACGTTTCGGTCTTGAAATTGTCACGCGGGGGGTCCCAAGCATTGAGGTCGAGTGGGGTGTTTGTCTCAGGACGTGGTGGGAACGCGGCGGGGGGTGTCGGTAAGTTTCGGAAAAGATTGTCGTGTGGGGTGTTCGCGTGGGCGGGTGTGTCGGGACGCGGTGGGGGCGCAGCGGGGTGTCTCAGCAAGTGTCAGACCAAAACTTGTCGTGCGAGGGGCCCCTTAAGAACTGAGCTCGCGAAGGGTGGGGGTGCTAGGACGTGGTGGGAGAGCGGTGGGGGTGTCGGTAAATTTCGTGCCGGACATTGTCGCGCGGGGGGTCCCAAGAATTGAGATCGCGTGAGGTGGGGGTGCTGGGACGTGGTGAGGGTGAGGTGGGGGGCGTCGGTAAGTTTGGGGCCAGAAATTGTCGCGGGGGGGGCCCAAGAACACAGCTCGCGCGGGGCGGGGGTGCCGGGGCGGGGGGGGCGGAGAAGGGGAAACGGACAGGCAAATACGGTTCCTTCTGGCGGGGCAGGAAAAATTGCATTTAGCAGTCGTGGACGGCGGGGGGGAAAGAGGGGGGAGGGAAGGGAGGGAGGAGGGGGGAGGTGGAGGAGGAAGAGGAGGAGGAGGAAGAGGAGGAGGAGGAGGAGGAGGGGGAGTAGGAGGAGGAGGAGGAGGAGGAGTCCGGCGCCCAGGGTCGGTTTCCCGAAAGCCGCCCGTGCATTGCACGCGCCCAGCCAACGAACTACCGCCCGGAAAACAGCAACAGCTGCGCAGGAAGGGCACAAGGGGTGACCACGTCGCCTGTGAAGACTCACGGCCCAGCGGTTCCGACATGGCGCGCTGGGAACCAAAGGCGTCCCAGTCGGAACAGCTGGCACGGCATACCGAAGAGCACAAGCCCCCCATCCCTGGGTGGGCAAAAGTCCCCGTGGGACTTGCGTGGCACAAGACGCCGCCTCCCGAGGAAATGCCGATCCTTGAGTGTCAAATCACAATGACATGACCGCACAAGCGCCGCCACCCGCCTTCACCCGCAGGGCCAGGCTGAGACTGGGGCCGTGCTACACCCGACGACACGAGACCCGTCGATACAGGTTTCGCAGCGTCCACCCCAAGCCCCACGAGCCCGCAGCTCCAGAAAAACCGGCCGTATGCAACCCGCACAACCTGCAAACTAAGTGCCGTGTACAGTGTGCCCCGAAGGTGCTCGGCAATGACACCATGAGAACAACAGAGGAGGAGGAGGAGGAGGAGGAGGAGGAGGAGGAGGAGGAGGACAGACAGGAAAGAGGGGGTCGGTCTCCCGATCCCGCTAGGGGACGGACAAAAGATCTTAAGCAAAGCGTCGGACCCACCCGCAAAAAAAGGGGAGGAAGGGGAGGGCAGAAAGAGGGAGGAGGAAGGGGAGGGCAGAAAGAAGGAGAAGGAGGAGGAGGAGGAGGAGGAGGAGGGGGAGGAGGAGGAGGGGGAGAGGGCAGGAGGGGGGAGGATCGTTTTCACCGAGCGCTGCTGACAAGCACTCGCCGTCCAGGAGGGAGGGAGGGAGGGAGGGAGGAAAGGGGGAAGCCGACGACAGAGCAGGCATGCAATGCTCATCCACAGCACGGCGGGACGAGGAGGATCGGCCTGATCACCTCCGCGCACATCGTCGTCTCAATGACCCTGCTGGCCACTGTAGGAGCCACGGCCCGCGCAGCTGCCTTTTTCCTCGCATGGTGCTGGGTCCGCGAGAATGTGGCGACTATCGTCTCGTTTTCGGCACGACGCCGGAGGACCTACGCAGCGGGCTATACCTAGGCGCGGCACTTGGCGAGTTCCCTCCTGGCCTCCATCGCCGCCGATGCCGTGCCAGAAGATCCACGCAGAGCCAGCGCCTTCTCGCCTGTCTCAGAGACCGTCTACCCGACGCCGCTTTCGTCCTACACTGTCGCCTCGCCCTCGCCCGCCTTTTGCTTGGCCGCGAGCTTGTCCTTCACATTGTGTGGGTTCCTTGCGTGTTCGCGCTCTTCCTGCTGGGCTCTGTACTCGTCGTTGACCGCATGCAGGTTCACGTCGTTCTCAAACCCCCCTCTGCAGGTCCTCGCGTTCGCGTTGCTCCACATGCTGGCAAGCGTCGATGGCGAGTTCCACCTGCAGGGCCTCGTGGGCGATCTTCTCCCCTTGCGCAGGATCGCGTCGCTCTCGGCCACCTGCTCTTCCGCGTACTTGTCCCATCCATCGAGAGAGTTCACGTCGTTTTCGGGTTCCACCTGCGGGGCCCCAGAGCTGGATTCCTCCGCGTGCGAAACCGCAGTGCGCATTGCACTGAAGCTCCTGCCACGCCTCGCTCTTGAGACGAAGGTTCACCCTATCGGCCTCGTACAACTCTCCTGCCGATATCTCCACCGCCGCCACCTTCGCCTGCTCGTCCGCCAAAACCATGTTGTCCACCTTGGAGGGAACGCGTTTCACGAGCGTTTGCCTTGGGAACATCCGGCGGCGCGTTTCAAACCGGCGGCTACCCCCCCCACACACTCGGCGCCGTCGATCAAAACCAGGGGGACTCCCTCCCCCCCACCCCCCCCCTCCCGAACACCCCCCCCCCTCGGCGCCAGCGCCGGCGCTGGCGGCCGCCAGCAGGGCCCACGGCGGGGACGCAGCGACGATGACCAGAGGCAGCCCAGGCGTGGGGGGGTTCAAACCCCCCCCCTCGGCGCCGGCGCTGGCGGCGGCCAGCAGCTCCGGCGCTGGCCGCGACGGCGGGGACGCAGCCAGCGACGATTACCAATACTACCACCACCACCACTACCACCACCGCCTCAACCCACCACCACCACCACCACCACCACCACCAACAGCACCACACAACCACCATCACCACCACCACCACCACCACCACCACCACGACCACCACCGCAACTCACCATCACCACCACCACCACCACAAAACAAAAAAGACGCCACCACTACCATCACCACCACCACCACCACAATCTACCACACCACCACCACCACCGCCACAACCACCACCACTACCAGCAGCACAACCCACCGCCACCACCACAAACCACCACACCACCACCACCACCACCGCCACCACCACCACCACCACAACAAACGTCCACAAACCAACGCCACCACCACAACCCACCACCACCACCACCACAAACCACCACCACAAACCACCACCACACCACCACAGCCACCACCACCACCACAACTCAGCATCACCACCACCACCACCACAAAACCCCACCACCACGACCACCACAACCACCAGTCTACCACACCACCACCACCACCACAACCACCACCACCAGCAGCACAATCCACCACCACCACCACACACCACCACACCACCACCACCACCGCCACCACCACCACCACGAGCACCACAGCCACAAACCACCGCCACAACCACAACCCACGACCACCACCACAAACCACCACCACACTACCACCAAACCACCACCACCACAACCCACCACCACCACCACCACAAACCACCACCACACCACCACCAAACCACCACCACCACCACCACCACCACCAACAACAACAACAACAACAACAACCACCGCCACAACCACCACCACAGCAAACCACCACACCACCACCACCACAACCACCACCACCGCCACCACCATCACCACCACAACCCACCACGACCTCTCACCACCACCGTCGTCCTCGTCGACGCTTCCCGCCACCGCCGCCCGCCGCCGCAGGCGCCGGCGCCGGCCAAGAAATGGAAATCGTCGTCCCCGCCGCCGTCGCCACCCGCCGCCGACCCAAGCGCAGCGCCGGCCCGAGGAGAGGGGAAGCGGAAGGGGGGGGTGTTCGAAACCCGGGGGGGGGGTCGAGCCCCCCCCCCCTCCAAACGACCACAGAACGCGCTCTTTCCCACCTTGGTGTCCAACCTCGTGTTTAGGTCGTTCTGCATGACACCCTCGGCGAAGTACGCCTCCTTCTCCAGCACCTACCGTGGCGTGATGTGGAACCTGGTGGAGGGGGTCTCTGCCGCCATGGACGCCTCCACGCGCTGTCACCCATGGCCCACTCGCGCGAACGTCCCATCACAACCAGCCCAGGTGGGGCGCGGCCCAGCTCGGGGGCCCGCCGCTGCCGCCGCCGCCGGCGGGCCTCCACCGATTCATGGACGGGCGGGGTCGCGCCGCTGGCACCCATGGCGCCGCCCCACGACGGGCTGCATCCGTGGCGCTGGCGGCGCCAGTCGCGGCCAAGCGCCCCGCCACCGAGGGCCCCAGACAGGTTCGGGCAACGCCAACAGCGCCCGCGGCGCAGGAATCCATGTTCCTGTCAACGCTCATGGGCCAAGTTTCTGGATGGGTTGCTGGGGATACGCGAAAGGGGAAGATGTTCACACATTGCCTTAGGATCGTGTGTTGAACAATAATCAAACATCTCCAGAACTTGGCCGACACACCCCGAAGACCTTCCAAAATGACACGGGCAACCAATAAAACAAGTGGCACGTGCGCCATGGCTCTTGCACAAAAAGGAAGGGGGAGGAGGAGGATGTGGAGGAGGAGGGGGGGGGGGGAGAGGATGCCAGACATCGCAGAAGGAGTGAACAAAACAGGGCCGCAAGAGGGGCTCCAGAGGGCGAGCGCGAGGAGACTCCAAGGGCCGTCCCCCGCAAGATGGCTTCAAAGACCTTTGACGGGTTCCCAGGACGCCTCCAACTGACACCCGAGAAGCCTACAGACGGTCCCAAGGGGAGGCCTCCAGGGTCCAAGGAGGGCTGGAAGAAATTACTGAGCGGACTCAGCTGCTGGGGGCTCGCGGTGCAAAGTGCGCGGCGGCCTTGTGTTGCGAACGCTTGTCCAAGGCAGTCGCTTTGCACGCAGAGTCTGTCGGGTGTATTCTCGGGGACCGGCTACGCGCCACTTGAATGGGGGCCTCCCCCACAGACCAGACTTTCGGCCCTGGGCGGCGGCGGCGACGACGACGGCGACGACGGCGGCGGCGTCGGCGGCGACGGCGGCGACGGCATCGGCGGCGTCGCGGGAAGAGAGAGGCGACGGGTAGGGAGGGCGAAAGGGGCAGGGATGAGCGGGGGCGGTGAGAGGGCCGGCGACGGCGGCGACGGCGTCGGCGGCGGCGCGGGAGGTAAGAGGGCACGGGCAGGGAGCGCGAAAGGGGGAGGGCTGAGCGGGAGTGGTGAGAGGGACAAGAGGAGTGAGGGAGAGGAGGGGGGCGCAGGGGTGGAGCGGGGGGGAGGGGGGTGCGGTGCCGAAATAAAATGGCCGGGGCG